GANGAAGGAGAAGGAGAAGGAGAAGGAGAAGGAGAAGGAGAAGGAGAAGGAGAAGGAGAAGGAGAAGGAGAAGGAGAAGGAGAAGGAGAAGGAGAAGGAGAAGGAGAAGGAGAAGGAGAAGGAGAAGGAGAAGGAGAAGGAGAAGGAGAAGGAGAAGGAGAAGGAGAAGGAGAAGGAGAAGGAGAAGGAGAAGGAGAAGGAGAAGGAGAAGGAGAAGGAGAAGGAGAAGGAGAAGGAGAAGGAGAAGGAGAAGGAGAAGGAGAAGGAGAAGGAGAAGGAGAAGGAGAAGGAGAAGGAGAAGGAGAAGGAGAAGGAGAAGGAGAAGGAGAAGGAGAAGGAGAAGGAGAAGGAGAAGGAGAAGGAGAAGGAGAAGGAGAAGGAGAAGGAGAAGGAGAAGGAGAAGAAGAAGAAGAAGAAGAAGAAGAAGAAGAAGAAGAAGAAGAAGAAGAAGAAGAAGAAGAAAGAAACTGCACTCCCCGCCCTTTCAGGACACTGCACTTCCCGTACAGTGGCAAAGCAAAGGCCAAAAGACTAAAACATCACACTACAGTAGACAGCTACCTACCGGGGTCCACAATGAATCTGTGGCTCCAAGGCTTTGTGTGCCAAAGTCACACACTCCTAAAAGGGGAGAGCCATGCATGGCAAAGTGAACAGAGGACTAGAATGCAGGACGCAAAGCTAACACTTTGCAGTCTTCAAAAGACACTGTTTTTTGAGATAGTCTCATATAGCCCAGGCTGCCCTCGAACTTGCTATTTAGAGGAAGATGACCTTGAACCCCTGACCCTCCTATCTATCTATCAAATGCTCTGATTATAGGCCTGTGCTACAACACCCAGTTTATACTCAAGCACTCTATGGACAGAGCTACATCCCCAAGTCCTGCCCTGTTCCCCTTCCCCCACACTTTTTGAAATGAAGCCTGCTTGTGTAGCTCAGGCTAGCCTGGTACTATGGAGCTCATGTGCCCTCATGCCTAGCTACAACACATTTTATTCTCAAACAGATTTCTGAAATTGTGTCATGCACAGTAAAAGCATGCAATGCCTTCTCCATGACTAACAGAAAAGGCGATTTATCTGACAACTTAGTTTTGGGGTTAGCACTCACAGATCACCTTCAACTCTGAAAGACATCAGCACAGAAGTAACCGGAGATGTGAGTGTAAAGGATTACTGCTTCAAATGCACAACCTAAAACCACCCTCAGACAAAACACCTTCTTCACAATGACCCTTACAGGGGACAGTGAGCCCTGGCCCTGGGGAACGTGGAGAGGTTGACTGTCTAGAAGTCCTTCTGAAGACTGCACAGTTCTCCCAAAATGAAGCCTGGCTGCAGGTCCAGTGGGCCGTCCCATGACCCATGAGTACAATGCCAAATGAATGTTCTGCCCTTCCATGAAAACTGCAATCTGCCAACAGAAAACTGCTTTTCCAACCTTCTCTTCAAATTTCTTGTCTATTTTTAAATCAGTTGTCTTGAACATCTAAATTAACACAAAACTTGGTCTGTACACACATGGGGTACACATGTCCCATATGGTCAGTGTCCCCAAAGAAGCTAGCTTTTTAAAGAAACAAAAGAAGATATTATGTTGTATGTGCCAAGGCACACATGTATGATGTAAGCTTCAGGCCAATTCTCCTGTCCCTGCTTCCCATGTAGCCATAGGGTGCTAGGGCTGGGACTATAGATGTGAGCCACCATATCCACCTTTTGATCTGGCTTCCAGGAATTGAATTCGGGTTGTCAGAGGTATGTGACAAGTGCTTTTACCTGCTAAGCCATCTTGCCCACGTAAAAGCTAACATTCTTTAAAGAGGGTACCTGCTATAATTTGTAGTCCTCCAAAAGGCTCATGTGTTGAAGGTTTGGTTTCAAATACAGCAGTGTTCAGGTGTGGCCTTGAGAGGTAACTGGATCCTGAGGGCTCTAATGTCATCAACAGAGTAATCCCTTGATGCACTCATAGTTCAACAGGCCAGATATGGGTTATTTCAGGAAACAGAAGTTTCTCAGAGCTGCCTCTGGTGAGTACAGTTCTGAGCAAGTTTGGAATCCAAAGTGCTTGCTTCTCAGGAGAACCAGGCCAGCAGCACACACCATCTTTTTGTGGGTGCAGCTCTCTCACGTTTTGAAGTGCCCAACACAAGGACCTTCCTGCTTCAGCCCCTGAAGCAAGACAGCAGGCATGTGGGCGAGGTCTCGCTGCAGTTTCTGACCTTGGGTTTGCTCTGTATTCATGAGGTGGCATGAGTACAGCCTTTCGTAGTTCATATAGATATTGCCCCCCGCCCCCCAGATAGATCATTTTATCCAGTTTCCCACCAAAGGTCAAATGGATATTGAGTCTTCCACACTTCTGCACATCACTCAAGATGCAAGGTACATCTCCACAGCAGCTTTTCCCAGTCACTTAGCAGTTGTACATCAAAAGGTAACCATTTCTTCACTGTTCTCCAAACCCTCGACACAGGTCTTAGTTTAACATGTCTTTAGTTTAATGTAAAAAGTTTAACATCAAAGAATATGTAAACTTTTATTTTCCCTCCAAGTTTTTAATTTTACTTTTTATTTCTGTCTTGACAAGCAATTTACTCTCTGCTTTTTCAAACATGACAATTTAAACATCCCAGCACTCAGGAGGCAGAGGCAGGAGGATCACTGCAAGTTCAAGGCCAGCCAGGACTACACAGCAAGCTCCTGTCTTAAAAGAAAAAAGTAATTATCATATAAATTACAAGACTTTTCTACTTCCCCCAACCCTGGCTGGGGCCTGCTGTCATCACCCCATTCTACAAACCCCAGAGGAAAATGGCTGGCGGCTCTAAGACTCTCACTTTCGCCACAGTCTGCGCAGTTACAATCCTTCCACACAGGTGGCAATTTGGAGACTTCTTCCCAAAGTGGCTAAAGATACAATAACTGGGAGCTGAAAATTGAGGGCTTGCTGGCTTCCCCTGGCGGATGACCTTCTGCCAGTTTTTCTAACCCAAAAAGTACCATTCTCTTTGGAAAACAGTCCCATTTAGAAAAAGATACTTTTGCACTATTATTTCCAAGAAGACTAGATGTACAAAAGGAGACTTACAATCTGCTGAGAAAATTGCAAAATAATTTCTAACTCTATTTGCTGTAATTTGACAATTCCCTTAAAAGTCTAGAAAATGAATGATTGTGAACTGTCTAAAACTCAATATCTCCTAATTGGAATCCCTTTCCAGTCACACCAAAGCACATATAGGTGAGACACCCTTCCAAGTAAAGCAGGGAACCATAAGCCTATAAAGTCTAAGTCACCAAGTAAATAAACAGTTTAGTCTCAAAATGCCTTTGCTATCTACTTAGCACCCGCGCTAAGAGCTGAAGATTTGCACGTGCTGACACACCTACAAAATGACGTGATAGGTTACACACCCCCAACAGAGCCAAAGTCACAAAAAGCAGAGATACTGGTCATCTAGTTGGTTTTCATTGCCATGGTTTTTTTGTTTGTTTGTTTTCCACGTTACTGTTTTCTTGCAAATCCCCTGGGCAGGATGGCATGGGCCTAGTCTCAGTGTCTCGGAAGGCTGAGGTGGGAGAATCTCTTGGCTCCAGAAATTCAAGGCTGCTCTAGGAGCAACTTGCTGAGGCAGTGACAGGAGAGAGAAGGCTGGAGAGAGGACTCAGTTGTTAGGAGCACTGGCTGCTCTTCCAGGGGACCCAGGTTCAATTCCAGGCACCCACTTGGCAGCTTACAATGGTCCAAAACTTTCATTCTAGGGGAACTAGTACCCTCTTCTGGCCTCTGTGGGCCAGACGGGGATGTAGTACATATACATACAGGCAAAACATTTATACAGATAAAATATAAAATGAGGGAAAGAGAGGGAAGGGAGTGGGAGAGGAGACCCTGCCGAGGGAGGGAGGGAGGGAGGGAGGGAGGGAGGGAGGGGAGGGGAAAAAGAAAAACAACACAAACAGAAAACACTAGACCATTCACTACTCTGTAGCCACAGGACACAACCTAAACATTTGACCTGCATATTTTGGTAGCCTCTCATCAAAAGAAGTTTGCTTAGTAGGGATGCAAGCCAACTGGACGAGAGGAAAGGCGTCAAACCAAGGAAAGCCAGCTGAAGGCTTACCAAACACAGCAGGAAGTCACCTGCACCTGGACAATTAAGGGCCAAGCCCCAACTCCCTCTGTATTTAAAATCCACAGCGCTGACTCTTCATTAATTTTAGATGAGTCTCACGGTAGGTTTTCTGTAATTACCAACAGCTTGCATTACCATCCCATGAGCTGGCTCTATCAGTGAAGAGATCCAGTGTCTTAAATGGTGCCTCCCAGATATTATGCCCACCCTTGTGTGTGCCACCAACAGGCTAAGGACTCCTCAGAAGCAGTTAAAAAAAAGAGGGGGGGAGCACTTTCTCCTTTAAGAGACAGGTTTCTGACTCTCAGACCTCTGGGGAAAAAACGTAAACTACAAAAGCAGCCAATCTGCCTTAAATTTCTGGTGCTGGAGATGTAACTCAGTGGTAGAGCTCTTGCCTCGCGTGCAGAGCACAAGCCCTGCCCTGGATTTACTCCTCAGCATTGCAATGGTTAAAGGGATGAAGAAGGTCAGCTCTGGTGACAGTTCTGCTGCAATGATGTCACCTACTTTCGGCTTTATCACATCTAAGCAACAATTTCTGTCTTTTTTTTTTTTTTTTTTTTTTTTTGGTTTTTCGAGACAGGGTTTCTCTGTAGCTTTGGTTCCTGTCCAGGAACTAGCTCTTGTAGACCAGGCTGGCCTCAAACTGCACAGTCATCCCCTCAGCACTATCTCCTGTGAGGTGTCATCTGACAGTCCTTGTAGGACAGCTGGATGACCGGCCCACCTAACCCAAGGCAGGTATAATCTGAGATAGCCCTTTAACAAGCCTCAAAGAACCGGCTAGAAATCATCCCAAGATTAGATATTAAATGACATTTCTTTTCTTTTTTTGGATACAGGGACTCACTGTGTAGTCTTGACTGGTCTCAAACTCATAGCAATCCTTCTGCCTCAATCTCTCTAGTGCTGGGCTGGAGAGATGGCTCAGTGGTTAAGAGCACTGCCTGCTCTTCCAAAGGTCCTGAGTTCAATTCCCGGCAACCATGTGGTGGTTCACAACCATCTGTAAAGAGGTTTGGTGCCCTCTTCTGGCCTGCAGACATGCACACAGACAGAATATTGTATACATAATAAATAAATATTTAAAAAAAAATCTTTCTAGTGCTAAGATTACAGTTGGAAACCATCATGTCTAAAGATAGTTACCGGTTCTTTGCACGTCTATCAGGGCCTCAGCACAGCCTTCCATTTTGGAAGAAGCTGACGCTGCCCTGAGAGATGAGAGTAAAACCTAAAGGCCTGAACTCAGGTACCTGGCCCTCGGTACACTGCAAACAACATTAAGACTAGGAAATGGGTTGGGGGGCAGGGGGGGGCGCACCTTTAATCCCAGCACTCAGGAGGCAGAGGCAAGCAGATCTCTGTGAGTTCGAATCCAGCCTGGTCTAAAGAGTGAGTTCCAGGCCAGCCACAACTGTTATACACAGAGAAACCCTTTCACAAAAAAAAAAAAAAAAAAAAAAAAAAAACTAGGAAATGGAACCTTCTGGTTCCTACTTTAAATATCAACTTAAGCATTTGTATAAATGAGCTCCTAAAACAGAAATACTAGACTAAAAATACACCGGCTCTCCTTGGCTTGCCACAAAACTCCCATCACAGCCAGCACTAACCCATCTATAGTATGTCTGCTGTGTATGCACTGGGGGGTGGGGGTCTCAGGGTGAGCAGGCCGGCCATCCCAGAGGAGGAAACCGGAGCCAGTGTCAACTGCCGATACCACAGGCTTCCAGGCCACAGCAGTTAGGTTAAATAGTCAAAGCTGCAGATTCTCCAGTATTCCTTCAAAGCTGTGAATCAAAACAGGAAAAGCTCAAAAAACGTCCATTCTATTTTATTTGTCAAGTTCACTCTAGCATCCTAAACTCAGGCAATCCTTTAGAGGGGCCTCTTGACCATTGCCCCAGGAAATGCTCAGCCCTGAGCTTACTGTGCTGGCAGCCAACATACCTCAGCTGCCTGATACAGAAGCTATGTGATGGGTCTTTTTCTTTTTCTAAGATCTTTGGGACCACAAATCAGATCTCTCGAAATAAAATTCACTCCAGGCTATTAAGCCTCCTAGGAACACACTCTCAATCACAGTCAAACCTTAAGACAAAGCCAAGTCGAACAAATGAGTTTGGTCTCTGGCTCAGAGCATGATCAATAGTCATTTCTGCTGGGAGTTTTAGCCTTAAAAAAAAATTAATGTTCCTGCTTTACTATTAACCTCCCTGCCAGGATCGAACGGCACTCACCCTATTCCTGCAGGCTTTGGTCTACCCTGGGAAATTAAAACAAAAGCAGCTCCCTTCCCCTGGGCTTCCTACTACCCTGACTTATTTTCCACTTCAAGCTCACGTCTGAACTTCACTGGGGCAGCAGCTCGCACTCCCTGAGGACAGCTCCTCCAGGCTCCAAAGGGCAGGTGCTGGAGTTTCTGAACTCTAAAGAGGGTGTGAGGTAGATGGAAGCCCAGAGTGACTGGGTGGGTTCCTACCAATGTTTTTCTGTCTGCCTGACCCATGATGCTCTCCAGTTGACCTGGAAGTAGATACAAGGCACAGGCATGTTAAACATGTGATAGGTCAGTTCACTCTTCTGTGCACTCCCCCACCCCCAGTGAGTCGCTCTTGTAAATGACATCCACAAAGTCATTTTTCTGGAGGGGGCGTTTCGAGACAGTTTCTCTGTGTAACAGCCTTGCTATCCTGGAACTCGCTCTGTAGGCCAAGGTCTCTTCCTCCCCTGTGCTGGGACTGGGATTAAGGGCGTGCATGGTGGACACTAAAGTGGCTCCTGGGTCCAGGTGGGCAGCATTCCCACCATTTTAACTCTAAGGAACAGTAACTCAGGCTTGAAGGAAATACTCAGCTGATGACTCTAGAGGAAGAGCCAGCCTGTGGTAACTGGTTGCTCCTTCCTGCTTTTACCTCAGCGACATTGACAAGCGGCCTTTTCCTATTTAGTACCATTAAGTGCAATACAAACACACGCAGGAGGATACACCTCTGGCTTTTACCTACTTGGTACCATCAAGCACAGGCATCTCTCCTCTCCTCTCTCCTTACCGCTCCTCCCCCTCCTCTTTCTCCTCTCCCCTCTTCCCCCTTCTCTCCTCCTCTCTTCTCTCTTCATCCCTCTCTCCTCATCTCCTCCTCCGCCCCTCTTCCCTGCACCTGCTCTCCACAAGGCGTTCCTACAAGGTCTACGTTATACAAATGTCTGCAAGCTTGACCAAGCCTGCCAGAGGGTCTGTTTTAAACCTGCCTATTGCTGCCTAGGTCTAGCAGACAGAGTCTCACTAGCACATCACTTGCTCTCCTATTGAGCTTTCCATCACATTTAAATGTTTCTATAGGTTTCCATGATTAGGCCTCATACAGAGTAAAGCCCAGAAGGGTTTCCCTTGGGGGCCATTAGGACCCTCCTTCTTGGTTCTGCCTCCAATGCTAACTATCCACCCCGTTACCTATGCTGCAAGTTTCTAGAGCAAGGCAGCCCAAGCTGCTCAACCTCACATATAAGTTTGTAGGCCCTCAAACTCCTCTCAGTACCAGTTTCCCTTACAAGTTCCTTCCTGGTCACCACCGTCATGCCAAAGCCCCCTTGTTATCTGTGACTACACCTTTCCTCTATGATCTCTTCTGTGTCACTCACTGAAATACACACCTTGAGGCCTTTTTGTTGTTTTTTCTTGTTTCTGTTTTCTTCCTTTTTTGTTTTTTGAGACAGGGTTTCTCTGTGTAACAGCCCTGGCTGTCCTGCAACTATTTTGTAGACCAGAAAGGGCTCACCTGCCTCTGCCTCCCAAGTGCTGGGATTAAAGGCCTTTAAGGTTTTCTTAACAAGACTTGCAAGTCTTCCATTAAACAAAGATCCTCATCTTCACGAGATCCCTCCTCTCCTCTCAGGCTAGGTACTGTACTGCTGTTCAGCGTCCACAAGAGCCCTGGGTCAATCCCACTGCCCTAGTCTCATTTCTGTTGCTATGACAAAATACCCTGCCCAAAAGCAGCATAGCAGAAGGGTTTCCTTGGCCTGCAATTCCACATCATGGGCTGTCATTAAGGTCAAGGCAAGAGCTTGATGTCAGGCCTGCCTCCTATTCCACACATCATTTCCTCCAGCTAACCCACGTCACAATCAAAGAAACACAGCAGAAAGCATGGATGATGCGGCTTGCTGGCTAGCAGCCGTACACTCAGCTGTGTTTCCTAGACAGCCATGATCACCTTCCTGGGTAAGGCAGCCACCCACAGTGGGCTGGGCTCTCCTATCAGTTAGCAATCAAGATAGCACTCCACAAGTGTGCCTGAGGAGCAGTCTGAACTAGACAATTCAACTGAGACTCTCTCCCAAAACATTTCTACCTTATCTCAAGTTGACAAAGTTAACTAAAACACTTAGTTGCCCTCCCAGCCCCAAGGGGGATACCTCTTCTGGCATCTGAGGCCCTGGCTGAGTCTCTTTCTTCCATACAGATAGTATATATCATACCAATTTTCTCTTGTAAATCATAAGGCTGTGGATGAAATTTACCCACCATCTTGACCCCAAAACCTTTAATCTCCTACTCAAAACTTGAAAGTCCGGGGAAGATCCAAGTGTCTCCTGTTTCCCTGGGGCACAGACACAGAGCTGCGGGTATGAATGTAGACGCAGAGCTGCGGGGGCTGGCAGCGGGCACTCCCCAGTTCATCTGAAGTGGGTCTGAGGAAGGCAAGTGGGCCTAGGTGCACTGCCAGTCTGCATACAGCTGCAGTCTCAACAGGGAGGCTCCCACGGGCAGAAAGCCTCTCCCCTCCAGGAAGCAACCACAGTTCCTTCCCACAACTTCCTGGAGCCCTCTTTAGCGCCCACCTGGCACAATGATTTAGCAGTACCAGTGGCTACCAACAAATACTTGCCAAAAAGATTATCCCCGCCCCCACTGGCAAAGCACTGTGAGAGGGAAGAGAGAGAACATGCGCAGCCAATCCTCTGTGAAGGACCACAGGCCACACACACAGAGGTCAACTGCAGTCCCTGCTGACACGCACAGCACAATGCAAGGGAAAGATGCTGCTGGAGGCTCAGTGCAGGGGCCCTGTTCAGACCAGGGCCCACCCTTAACCCAGTCCTTGTAACAAGGCAGGCCAATGTCTCTTAAATCTGGAACAAAGGAATAGAAAGTGTGTCCTCAGAAGCAGCTGCTTCCTCCAAACCTACCCGGTAGCTGCCAAGATGGACTGCTGCAGACTCTCCCCTGCCTCTTTCCTCCTCTTCAGTTATTCTGCCTTAAAAATTACCTAACCTCTTCAATAAGCCCAAACTTTTATTTTATTTCTTTTATTTTTATTTATTTATTTATGTTTGGCTTTTCAAGACAAGATTTCTCTGTAGCTTTGGAGCCTGTCCTGGAACTAGTTCTTGTAGACCAGGCTGACCTCAAACTCACAGAGATCCGCCTGCCTCTGCCTCCCGAGTGCTGGGATTAAAGGTGTGTGCCACCACAGCCTGGCTTAAACCCAAACTTTGAAGAACATTGCTCACGCTCAGTTTTCCCATCCTTCTTGGTATACTTGGACTCAGTCATTCACTCACTCAGCAATTGCTTCAGAAGCCTGTTAATGACAGATGCCGGGTTAGGTCCTCAGCACATAAGAAAGCACATCAGCAAGTGTTGTGGAATATTATTTTAACTATGTAGACACGTTACATTTGTTTATGCATTATGTTTATTACGTTAACTGTGTAAAGGAGTGTGGCACTTGATTTGTTTAATTATGTACAGAAGTGTTGCATTTGTTTCACCCTGCCTGCCTAAGGCTCCTGACTGCTCTAGTAAAGCGCTGAATCCAATCTAGACAGGAGAGGGATAGGCGGGGCTGGCAGGTAGAGAGTACAAGTAGGAGAAATCTAGAAAAAGAAGAGAAGAGAGTTGGAGGGAGAGAGACGCTTGGGGCCGGAGGGAGACGCCTGGGGCCGGCTAGGCAGCCACCAGTCAGCAGACAGAGTAGGATTTACAGAAAGAAAAGCTAAAAAGCTCTGAGACAAAACAAAGATGAA